AGGTGCACATGGACCATTCTCAAGGATAGGTCATATGCTGGGACACAAAATATTTCTTCAAAGATGCATGAATATAGAAAATACATTAAGTTGTTTTCTTTGTATAACAGTGGTATAAAGTTTTAAATAAAACACAAACACAGAGAAAAACAAACTTGGAAACTAAACAATATTTTGATAACTCCTAGGTAGATGAAGAAATAAAAGGTGAAATAAAATATTTCCTGGAGATTTATGAGACAAGCTGCCAGATCCTGTGTGATGCATTAAAAGCAGTATTAAGAGGGAAATACATAACAATACAGGCCAACATCTATGAGCAACAGAAATTTCAAATAAACTAAATTTATATCTGAAGGAATTAGGGAAAGAATAGTCAAAAGCAAAATCAGTAAGAGGAATGAAATAATATTAGAGCAGAAATGAACAGAAACCAAAGAGATGATAAAATGATCAGATGGTTCTTTGAAAGAATGAACAAAATTGACATACCATTAGCTCTCTAAGAAAATAGAAGACCTAAATAAAATAAAATGAAAGAGATGGAATTACAAAAGATGCTGCAGAAATATAATGGATCATAAGGGACTACTGTGGACATATACATGCAAGCAGATTTTATAGCCTAGAAGATATGGACATATTCTTAGAACCTTACAACATATAGGCTTGAACCAGATGAAATAGATAACTTGAACAGACCAGTCACAAATACTGGAATGGAATGGGTATCCCTAAGAACTAAAGCCCAGGACCAGATGACTTCATTGGTGAATTATACCAAACCTTCAAAGAAGATTTAATACCATTTTTCCCCAACTCTTAAAAAAATTTTATGTTGAGGTACACTTCCAAACTCATTTTAGAAGGCCAACATTACTTTGATTCTGAAACCAAATAAGAACAACCAACAAAGGAAAACTACAGGTCAGTATCTCTGGCAAACATAGATAAAAAATCCTGAGCACAATCTTGGCAAATTGAATCCAAAATATTGAGAGACTCATCCATCATGACTAAGGGGGGTTTTTCCCAGCGTGCAGATTTTGTACAACATATATACATCAATGTAATTCACCACACCTAACAAAGAAGGATAAAATTACATGGTAATTGTAGTAGATGCAGAAAAGCATTAAATGAGTTTCAACATCCATTTAAGATAAAATGAGTTTCAACATCCCCAATAAATGGGGATGCAGGGAACTTATCTCAACATAATAAAGTCTATATATGGCAAACCCACAGCCAATATCATAGTCACTGGTGAAAAACTGAACTCCTGTCCCCTGAGATCAGAAACAAGGATGTCTTTCACCACTGCTATTGGACATAGTGTAGAAAGTCCATATCAGAGCAGTTAGGCAAGAAAAGATACAAAAGAAGTCCTAATCAAGAAAAAAGTGGAACTATCATTATTCACAGGTAAAATGCTAAATACACATAGAAGGGCCAAAAGGCTCCCCCAAAATACTAGAAATTATAAATGAATACAGTGAAGTTGTAGGATACCAAATCAACATGTATGTATCTGTTACATTTCTATATGCAAACAATGTATCAGAAGAAAGTGAAGTTTAGATATCAGTCACATTTAAAATTTACACGTAAAAGGATGAAATACCTGGGAATAAACTTTATAAAGGAGGTGAAGGACTGAAACACTGAAAATCGTCAGACACTGTGAAAGGAAATAATAGGACAGAACAAAATGGAAAGGCAAGGACTAGGAGAATAAATGTAACAATGGCCACATTACCTGAAATAAGTTTAGTTTCAGTGTAGTACTTCTCAAAACTCTGATGTTTTTCAAGGAAATGGAACAAAGACTAAAATTTGTATTTAACCAGAAAGACAAAATTAGAAAAAATAACCCCAAAAGAAAAGAAAAATGGAGAAAACTCTGTGACTACAAACTGTACTATACAGCAGTAGAGATAAAAATTGTATTGAAACAAGCAGAACCAAGGCTGATGGGATAGAATAGTCCAAAAATAAACTCAAACAAATATGGACAATTAATCTTTGATAAAAGAGCCATGACCGTAAAATGGAGAAAGGAGTGCCTCTACAATAAATGCTGTTTGGAAACAGCCATTTGCAAAAAAAGAATAATAAAGTGCATTATGCTTTCACACACACAAAAAAATATGCAGTTTTCATCCATTGTAAGATGTGAAATCATGAAAAACTTTAAAAAAGACATAGGTGATTTCTGGACAGCAACCAGAAATGTATGTAGGGTATACAACTGCAAGGGCAAGTACAAAAAACACAACATTGAACAAATGTGGTTACATCAAGCTAAAAAATTTGTGTACCACAAAAGTAACCATCCCAGCAACAAAACATCCTATGAACTGGGAGAAGACATTTGCACACCTCACATCTAACAAGGGGTTAATTTTCAAAATCTATGAAGAACTTAGACAATTCAGCCACAAAAAAACAAGCAACCCAATCAAAAAAATGAGGCTAGACATTTAGGAAACTAATCAGTATTTCTGCTGTGTCCTCAGCCACTGCATACTTAACTGCACGTCAGTGTTTCTGTTTCTCATGAGATTACAGTTAGGAGCAGATATAAAGTTAGCCTTAAAATGGAATTTAGAATTCATCAGTATAATTCATTTGTGAGGACATAAGCTGAATTATTTGTAATGCTATTTGTATGTCTGGACATATCTAGAATTCCCTAAGTTATTCTAGATGTAAGAAAATTTTAACATTTTAATCAATCCATTTTTAGTTCTTTGATGTACTAACTCTAATTCTCAGTAGTGTTAGTGAAATACATTAAAAAGTATGTGAGGATCAATTTAGGTTGAAGATTATAGATAAAAATGTAATTGGAACTGAGGTGTTTCCCTTGTTTAGTAACCCTGAGTTGCACACACATTATCCCCAATGAAGATGATCCATTTCAATATTCTGTCAAAAGTATGAATTTTAGATGGGAAGTATACATTTAAATTCATACCATCTCCCCTCTCTTTTTTTTTAAACTTTAGCCTGAAAGTCTCTCTCGCGCGCGCGCACACAAACACACACATTTATATTAATGTGTCCTCAAACATGTATATATATGCCACCAACAAACAGCTCTCTGAGACACCAGGCTTAGGGCCTTTGGTGCTCCTTTCAGGTAATGTCAGAGATAGAATGGAGGCCCAGTCTGTGACAGTCCTTCGGCTTCTCTTCCCTCCTTGGAGGGCTGCTGCTGGATGCTTCTTTTCTTCTTTTTTGGAGCCTGGAACCATCTTTTTTTCTTCAGGAGCTGGCGTCCTCATCTCTGGGCTGGCGTCGTTTCTCCTCAGCGCCCTCCAACCCTGGCTTATACTCGCTCTCAGGGTGCCCCACCCACAAGTCTGATTGGACCATTTTTCAATCCTGTGATTGATTGGACCATTTACCAATCAGCCAATCGCACCTGATTTGTCCATTCCTCAACCTAGGAATATGCTTTACATCGAACAGTTCTGAGGAGAAACTGCCACAACTGCCTTGTAGAGAGAGGCTGGGTCCTGGTAACAAAAGTCTGATCAGACCATATAGCACCAATCAACTTATAGCTAGCACCTGATTGGTCCATTCCACAATCCAGGAAGTACACTGTTACATAAAAGGTCTCTGAGGAGCAACTGCCACAACCGACTTGTGGTGGGGCACCGCGGCTCCTGCCGGCTCCCACCGCTGAGGCCGCTGGGTTCTGGTAACATTTTGACAACCATAAATCTTGCTATAGATCACACAAATGTTTTTAACTTTATTATAATTTATTTAGGCAAGCAGATACAGAATTTGTGTGGTAATCAAAGTGGCGGACTCCCAACTGGATGATTAAACTGGAAATGGTAGAGGCATTAGGTTAGTAGGGGATGCATAGAATGGCAGAATGGACACAGCACGTTAGCAGAAGGGTAGGTGTGAGAAGTTAGGATATGCTTTAGCATGAACTAAATGAGAAATCCTTGTGGAGTCATTGACCTTGATTCTGATAGGATAAGGAGAGGAATCGGCAAATGCTATATTTGAAGTTGGATAACTGGGGTCAAGAGAACAAACTGAATTATAGGGAATGTTGAACTGTGTTCAGATTTTTGTAGTAATATTTGGTAGTACTATAAAGCATTTGAAATTTAATGATAGGCAGAAATTTTTAGTAGAGAACTGAAAACTGAGATGAGGTGGTCTTTTAGCTTTTTTTGGTATCATGGAATGCTTCTGTTACTTAAAATCAGTCCTGTATGAGGTCAACAGATGGTGATCTGTGTTGTCATAATTTTATATTTTGATAGCTTAGGTGATAACATATCAAAATCTGATAAAATGCACTTACTATTATGTTTATGACACTGTACCAAGTTCTTACAGTTACCATGTTTGTGTGAGTGTGTGTATGTCTTTCAACTCTACAAGCACATTTCTTTCATTTCCTTGACTTATTTACAGCTTTGTACAGGTTATTTTACTATGTAGAAAAATAAAATGTTTTTTAATAAGTTATCAAGATTTATCAATAAAAATAGATTCCTCCCCATTTTAAAGAACTGATACTCATTTTAAAGAACTGATACTACTAGTAGGACATGGAAAAGAAACATTTATTTCATATCCCTCTTAGGGTGTATTTTTCACTGAAATTCCTTGACACTTTGTGGATGATATACTAAGTCTTTCAAAACTGCTGAAAATAAGCTGTAACAAGCATCTGATGATATGAAAAACTGAACAAAATGTGTACTCAGATGAATGATTCTCTGAAGAAGTAATGGTGCAAATGAATTATCAAAGTGTAAAATCATTAAAAACAAAACATGTTTGGGTTTTTATTGAATCTTAATTGCAGGCTTACGTATTTTATTATGTAAGTTATGAAAATATGCCTAAATTTTTGGAGGACAGTGTTGTAGGACTTGTATTGTACAGTAATTTAGTTTTCACATAAAAACTGCTCTTCCTTTTTGTTCAACATTAACATGCATGCTTTCCTCATGTAGGAGAATATATAAAAAACTGGAGGCCAAGATATTTCCTTTTGAAGACAGATGGCTCATTCATAGGATATAAAGAGAAACCTCAAGATGTGGATTTACCTTATCCCCTCAACAACTTTTCAGTGGCAAGTAAGTTAAATATAATTGCCGATTCACCTTGAATTTATTTATTTCTATGACCTTTTGTGTCATATATCTTAGGGTATATAAGAAGGCAAATGAAAAAGTTTCAGTTTTTCTAAAATAGGAGATAAATTTTTAACTTAAGACAATTTCAATTCCTTAGCATAGGTATTATTGATAATATATGGTCTTATATAATGTTGAATTTCTTTTTAGTTAGAACTTGAATGTAATGAATATAATTTCCCAGATATGTATATCAAGTTTTTCTTTATAAAATGTGAAAAAAAGACCTTTGAACTTGGTTGCTAGGTTAAACTTGATTGTAAGATGTTGCAGTACTTAGTGCGTTTCTAATAAATGTTCCTATCATAATCTTAGCTCTTTTGTTTAATTGTATGATGAGAATAAGTGACTTTCATTATTGGGAGATTTAATGTTTGCAGGTAAATTTTTCTTCTTTATGACTAGCTAACAAATCTGTGATTTAAACTCATCTAGAAATTATGTATTTGCTTGAACATAGCACAAAACATGATAACGATGAAAATTATTGTTATAGTCTATACAGACTTTTCACACTGTTCAAACTACTGGTTAATCAGTGCAAAACTTTTTCTGTGATTATTCATAAGTAAAGCATTCTAAAAGTTACAGGAAGTTGAACTTCCTGTGAACTACCGGAAAGTTAAATGAACTACCGTGAAAGTTAAAGTCTTTCATAAAAAGTTAAACCATTGAAATAAAATCTTGAGTTAAATTATGATTGTATGTTTAGCCACATTTTGAGAAGATAGGAAAAACTGAAGCAAAAATATACAATAAAATATGATAAAGTATTGCATATACAAGATAACAAAGGTAGGTCCTTAAATGTTATGAAAGTCATTTTACTATTGTTTAGAGACCAAGTCTATTTTATGGATAGCATCTGTTAATATTTTTAAAGAATAAAACAATAAACCAAAGGGTTTGTGAAATCATTTCCATGATAAGGTTGCTAACTTTAAAAAACCCTCACTGATATGACTAAATGCTTTAGTAGAGATTTCATTTCTTTAAAAGTGAGAACATTTATATACATATATAAATGTATATAGTTAAGGAAATGTATAAAGTTAAGGAAATTATCCCCCTCCATGAAATGCTATTTATCACTTTCAGTAGAAACCTGTTTTTAAGATCCTGTTTTTAATTGAAATATGTCTTGTATTTTGTATTGACTTAAGAACTCATTTTTTCCTAAAGATCTTTTGGGGTAGTATTGCTTTAGAAAGTGATAGAAATTGGCTTTTCAAACATTAGCAGGATGTATTATTATATCCTACCTAAAGCCATATATATATATATATATATAATATATATATATAAGTATATATATATAAGTATATAAGTATATATATGTGTATAAGTATATATATAAGTATATATATTATATATAAAAGAGTATATATATATATATATATACACACACACACTCTTTTACTAGCAAATGTTATTGGTTTGTCTGAAATAATTTATAAAATTCAAAACTCCTGTATCTCCTGATCAAAATGCAGCATTTTTTGACCTTATGAAATTTCACACCCCAACAAGTTTTAAAGACATACTGTATGTCACAGTCTGCCAACATCTGCTCCAACACTTCCACTGGCAGAGGCTGAAATAAATGCTGCACTCTTGGGGAGATATTCTCTTTCGTGACTGACAGTCAACTTATCCATGAAATCAATATTAGTTGACATCTGTAATCTTCACTTGTATATTCAAGTTGTTATAGATTGTTATTTTGCAGAAGTATATTAAATAACATGGATCTTATATATTAAATGGATTATTATTAGTTTGACTTATTGCAAGCTAAATTTTATAATAATTGCCTGAGGAAATAATGAGTCCAGTGAAATGGGCCCTGGCACAGTCCATAAATATGACCTTTGAACTGTCTGGTATTTAGACAGCATAGTGGAAACACTTGGATGCAATGAATTTGTAAGACCTTATTATTCTCTGCGTGGGGGTTTGAGGAGGCCCTGGAAGAGTGAATAGATGTTAAAAAAATTAAAATAGAGGAGAAGAATATTTCAGGAATAAGGTGAAAAAATGTTTTAATGAGACATTAAGAGAGGGAACAGTTGGAACAAGGAATGGTTTCTTCACTAGTTTCCCTTTTGCCCTAGCCCCCTTCACTAAATGACTGAAAAATGTCTGAGAAGAAAAGAGGAAAAATGATAGGCATAAATATTGTATTTGAAATATTTGGGAGACTGCTGTAATCATACGAGATATTTCGTTTTCTCAGCATCAGAGTTAGACACTAGTCCCGTTAGCTTACCTGGTGGTGTAGTTTCTGTAGGAATACTGCTGTTCATCTTCTAATAGAATGTAAAATGATTTTACTAATGTAAGTAAATATTCCATTTTCAAATCCTACTTTAAAGGTAATTGTTTTCTTACCTGAAAGTTTTGAATTTTAGCTCTTAGCTTGGAAGTGGTTATGTTCAGTATCTCTCTTTTTTTGTGTGTGTGTGTGTGTTTTTTTTTTTCCCCTTGGGTGGAGATTCTTTATTGGTGTTCTACTTGATAGTTTGGTTTCCAGTATCCCCTAAGCATATATTTTTTAAAGTTTTATTTTATATATTTTTACGTCATTTTTCATTTTTGCACAATGTATGCAGGAATTTAGAAAACCTAAATAAGGGACCAGGAAAAAAACTAATTATAATAAAGTAAATCAAAATAAACAAGCAACTATAAACCAGAGAAACACTGTGGGGTTTGGGGGGAGGAGGAGGGATTAGGGTAATCTCTTTTTTTAAACTCAACTTCTCTTTTGTAGGGGAGAGATGGTGGTATGGATGGGAAATAGATTGTATGTGTTTGTGTGTGTGGGGGAGGGGTAGAGGACAGACACCTGCAGCCTGTGTGAGATAAGCAGCCTTGTTGGGTTATTCTGTGTTTTTTGTACATAATGTTAATTATTAACATGTTAATATTCATCTCTGTATAATATTCATCTCAGGTAAAAACCAGCCTCCCCAACACCAACCAGCTTTTGATGCCAAGAGTTATTGTATTGTTGTTTTAGCTTTTTACTGACCCTATCATTTTCTTCCATGACACTGTACCATATCTGAAGGGTAAAGTAATTCTTTTTTCACACCTCTCTGACTATACTCATTTATGGCCTATTTAAACTTATAGATTCTTTTTGGTTAAGTTAAATGTAGATATTTAACTGATAGAGTTGCTTCATATTTACTTTTAGGATATCTTTATTTTTTTAAGTTAAACTTTTAGTTTCCAGATAGTAGAGATAGTAGATATTTCAGTGTAATTAGTTCTTAGATTCTAATATAAAAAAGTGAATTGTATTTGTTGCTTTACTTCATCACACTTATAATTCACACAGGAAATGGAGAGGGATTTAAGGAAGTGAGGAAAAAGAATTGATAGTTTTTAAGAGCCTACTGTGTATGAAATATTTTATTTATTTGATCACATTTTGTCATAATGAGAATAACATACAGTAAATAATACCTTAAAAATGCCAGCTGGTGCATTAAAAAATGTTACTATTAGAGAAATGCAAGTCAAGACCTCAGTGAGATATCCTCTCACATCTGTGACAATGAAACATATCAAAAAGACTGGAAACAAGAGCTGGTGAAGATGTGGAGAAAAGGGAAACTTTCTACACTGTTGGTGGGAATGCAAACTGGTCAGGCCCTTATGGAAAGCAGTATGGAGGTCTCTCAATACATTAAACATGGATCTGCCATTCGACCGAATAATTCCACTTCTAGGCGTCTACCCCAGAATTTTAAGAACACAAATTTAAAAGGATACTTGCACTCCCATGTTTATTGCAGCACTATTTACTATAGCTAAACTATGGAAACAACCTAAGGGCCCCAGAACAAATAAGTGGATTAAGAAAATGTGGTATATATACACGATAGAATATTAGTGATCCAAAAACATAAAATCTTGCCTTTTGCAGCAACATGGATGGTGCTTAAAAGGATAAAGTTAAGTGAAATAAGTCAGAATCAGAAAGATAAATACCAGATGGTGTCACTAAATGTGGATAAAGTAACTAAATTAACAGTCAGAGAAAGACGAACTAAAAAACTAACCCTGATTGCTGCCTGCAGACCTGAGACACCAGTGGGAAGGGGCTTGGGAGGAGAAGGAACGAAGAGGGAAGGAGGCACAGCGGTCTTCTGGGGTAGAATGTGAGTTGGTGGTAGGTGTGCTATGGCGGTAATACCTAATGGGGGTACCCCATATGACTTCAGTTAAAAATAAACTAATGAATTGCTAAAAGAAGTAGAAAATGAAACAAGTCCTAGAGAGATTAAGAAACTTTCCCAGGGTCTCAAAGCATATATATGGTAGAACTGTGGTTTATACTTTGGTCTAACACCTGATTCAAATGCATTTAATTATATATGAGATTTACAAGTGACAGCTGTCTTTAGGCAGTATTTATTTGTACCCACAAAACTTAGTGGTATGCCAAGTATTATACACAGTAGCTTAATAGCAGACCTATTATTTCCAAGAGGTGTACTTTATGTGCAGTGGTACTCATTTGTGCTATATGTAAAGTATGGAGATGGTAGCCAAGTAACTGATTATTTGATAGAAATTTACATAGATTATTATGTAATATTGGACTGGTTATTTTACCACACTGGAACTCAGAATTTTACCATCTGTAGCAATAGGGAGTTATAATAAAAGATCTGAAAAGATGGAAAGGACTTTCCATCTAAAATTAAATGATTTGCTTGTAATAATTTCTTGAAACAGTCCATTGAGAATTAATAGTCATAATAATAATTACTACTTGTTAAGCACCTCTGTCCTTTACATACATATTGTTATTCCCGCTAACATTTTTGCAGGATGCATATTATATCTACAGCTGGAAAACTAGACTACGGATTTCGTCAGTGGTCATGCATCTATTAAGTAATGGAGCTAGAATTTAAACCAGC